AAAGTGTTCATTAAAGTTGGTGATTAAAAATAATAACGTATATCAATTGTATACTTTAACAAGCTTTATTACATAGTCACTGAATGATAGTAGTATTCCATCTTTCCCTTGACCGGATCAATAAGGAATTGAGATCTATATTTCATTTGAATTGTAGAAAGTTATGATTTATGACATTTCGTTTGTAATTTCTAAATATGTCAATTTTATTTAAAAAATTATATACTTTATGTTCTAATTTACACACAAACAAAAAAATCGATTATGAAAATTGAAAACCGTTATTCTTTCTAAAATAAAGAGAAGTAGTAGAATGATAGAGCAGTTCAATTAAATTGCTTATAGTACCATTCCCCCCACAATGAACCAATTTATAGAATTTTTTTCTTCACTTTAGTTTACAATTATTATCAGCTCCATAGAAAAGATTCATCAAAGAATTTGGGCCCTATAGTGTTCAGGCCCAAATATCCATTACTATGAGTATCAAGTGTCAACTTTCCATCTGTGAAACCCAACGTGAAGCCCTTTACAAACTAATGGACTATGGCCCATTATAACTTCCTTTTTTCAACGGATTAAAAAGGAAAGTAAAACAAACAAATTGAAACAGACAGATATCAAATGTTTGACTGAGGTCAAGCGCCGAATTAGAGGGTCTATTACGATTTACATAAATTTAATAGCTAAAAAAAATTGTTAAAATATTTAAATATTCGATCGTAAACTGACTTATTATTATGTTATTAATTTACAGGTCGTTTGGTGTGAGTGATAAAAAAAATAGTCCTGAGATAAAATTTTGGTGTCTTGATCGGTTGTCATGTTTGGGATAACTTATCCCACCATTTATACCATAGTGAAGGAATAAGTTATCTCATATACATGGTGTGATAAGTTATCATAAGATAGTTAATCCTGAAATAACTTGTTCCCAATGAAACGACCCTTCAAAATTATTGTAAAAATTATTAAATATCAAATTTTGAATTTGTCTCGAAAACGTCAAATACAAATATCATGAACTTCATTGACTGAATACTTAGATTGAAAATTTACCTTACACTTAGGGGCACGCAACGTAGCATTTCCAAAAGAACTTAAACACTGACGTTTAGTTTGGGGCTTGGGAAATGGGACCCTAAATATTTAAATTTTCGATCGTAAACTGACTTATTATTATGTTATTAATTTACAAGTCGCTTGGTGTGAGTGATAAAAAAAAATAGTCCTGGGATAAAATTTTGGTGTCTTGATCGGTTGTCATGTTTGGGATAACTTATCCCACAATTTATACCATAGTGAAGGAATAAGTTATCTCATATACATGGTGTGATAAGTTATCATAGGATAGTTAATCCTAAAATAACTTGTTCCCAATGAAACGACCCTTTAAAGTTATTGTAAAAATTCTTAAATATCAAATTTTAAATTCGTCTCGAAAACATTAAATACAAATATCATGAACTTCATTGACTGAATACTTAGATTGAAAATTTACCTTACACTTAGGGGCACGCAACGTAGCATTTCCAAAAGAACTTAAACACTGACGTTTAGTTTGGGGCTTGGGAAATGGGAATGGGTTTTATTCGATATTCCAAAGATTAATTCCGTAACTTCTTTCGTCCTTTGATATTCTTACAAGGAATCAGAGGTTTTAGGTTTAACTTCGTAGAGATAAAAAAAAAGGTTTTATTGAAAGCATCAATTTTAGAAGAAGTCTTTATAATGTATGAATCTAAAATTAGTCAAATTTTAAAATTTTCTTTGTTCCTACTTACTTGTCCATTTTTTCTTTTATAGTTGTCCCTAATTACTTGTCCATTTTGACAAATCAAGAAAGAACAATTTTTTTTACCTATTATACCCTCAATTAATTACTTTTAAAAAGGTAGAACTTGTTGAAAATCTTAAATTTTAATTCATCCACTTCATAATTAAAAGAGATAAAATGGTAAACTCACTATGTTAATAATTATTTTTTAATAGGTGTGTCATTTCAAAAATGGACAAGTAATTAGGGACAGAGAAAGTATGAATATCGAACCCTAAATAAAAAATCACAAGAAAATAAGAAGTAAAAGTTACAAATTCCAATTCCATAGTATTGTTGAAACTAATTTACGTAACAAACTTTTGTTAACCATTTATCCTCCAGTTGAGCAAATCAACGTGGTATAATTATTTTATTCACAAAAAGAAGCATTTATATGTGTGTGTGTGTGGCCAGCGCGCTCACGCTTCTCACGAGAGATCAGAATTTGTTTGCATTAATTTTCTGTGAAATTTCATAGAATTTTAAAACAAAGACTAGGACTTTTGTTAGTTGGTGTACTTTGTCAGAAGGTGAAAGTATTATTTTTCTTCTTTGATTAATGAGTGCTTTTTTTTTAAGGTATTTATATTAAAGTTTGATTAAATTTTTAATTTGTGTCTGAGAGTTTTACATTGAAGATAAATGACTCTCTAATAAAGATAACTATGTACCCCGAAAGACTTAAATCTTAGACCTCTGAATTATAATAAATGAATATTTACTACTCCACCTACAACTCAAAACCTTTTTGATTAATACTTTCTCTATCATTACTTTGAACACTTCTTAGAAAATAACAAATGTTACACATTTTTATCATGATTGTCTTAATTGTTGTATAATTTTTAATCAACTTGAGAAATATTTTGAAATAAGTAAGTCACTAAGGTAAAACATGAAAAATAAATTGTCTTTTATAAAGTAGATAAATTTAAAAATAAATAAATTTAATACAGTGAACAAGTAAAAGTGAGTGGAGATATTTTTTTACTCTTTTTGTCCCTATTTACTTGTTCATTTTTTACTTGACACACCTATTAAGAAAATAATAATTGACATTGTGAATTTACCATTTTACCCATATTAATTGATAGAATTTCAAAATTAATTTATTCATTAAAGAGATTTTACCTTTTTAAAAAGATCAACTTTCAAAATAAATCAAGGATATAATAAGTAAAAAATATTATCTTATCTTGATTTGTCAAAAATGACAAGTAAAACAGAACAAATAAAATGTTAAAATTAAACAAGTAAAAAGGGACAGAGGGAGTATTTTTTTGGTAATGTTATTGGTTTCACACTCGGTAAGTTATTACTCTTTTCAATTCAAAACAATTGAATTTAATTTTAAAAAATTAAAATTTACCCTTAACACACTCAAGTTCCCCATAATATTTTTTTAAAAATTTCCATTTGAAAATGAACAACTTTCACATATAGCAAACATAAAAATCATATCTGTATGCTATAGCTATAGTTTGCATAATTGCGCTTCATAGCAAACATAAATATGTATATTTCGCTATACATATACAAAGAAAACAGTTATATAATTTGCTATACATATACAAAAAAAGCAGTTGTATAATTCACTATACATATATAAAAGAAAGCAGTGTATAATCTTTTTCGGTATACATATATAAAAGAAAGCAGTGTATAATCTGTTTCAGTATATATATACAAAAGATCAATTGTATAATTTGTGTTTGTATAAAGCGAGAAAGAGAGAAAGACAAAAGAAAACTGGGAAGGGGAAAATTGTATTTGTATAATCATAAGTGTATAGGACGAAAATATATGCATTTGTGTTTATATATACAATTTTCTCTCGCTTTATACAAACACAAACGCAATGTATACATTTGTGTTTGTATAAAGTGAGAGAGGCAAGTGAGAGTGGCGAGCGGGAGCTGAGAGAGGGGAACAAAAATATATGTATATATACAATTTTCTTTCGCTTTATACAAACACAAACACATTTTATACATTTGTGTTGGTATAAAAGCGAGAGAGGCGAGCGAGATTGCCACCAAAACGAGAGTGGCGAGCAAGATTCCACAAGGGAGAGAGGCGAAAATAGCAATAGTTTGCTATAGGGTACAATTAAATCAAATTATATTTATAACATTTAATTTGAATAATAATTTGCTATTATATACAATTTTCTCTTTTAAAATCTGTACAGGCCCAAAAATTAGCCCAATGTTGGAAATAAACAGAGCAAAAAGAAAAGTCGAAATCTGTGTTCCCCATAATAATTATTTCAACAACAACAAAAAAAAAAAGAAATCATAATTAAGAATATTATAGTCAAAACTCAAAACCCTTGTAAATTTTCAGGAATAAGTGATTTTAATCCATATGCGGATATGTGTAAGTCTTAAAACATCAAATATTTTGGATTCAATGAACTTGACATCATCTTTATTATTTCACAAGGTTATGATCCAACATAGTTATTTTATTTCATATCTCACTCTCATATTTTCTGTGGAAAAATTAGGAAAAAGTAGTACTACCAATTTTAGATTAGAATAATATCCACAATACATTATGTAATTCAATTCTGTCGACATTTCTTTAAATAAAAACCTAATATGTGTAAACGCACTTTTTATTATTCCATAGTACGTCTAACATATTGCTGATACAACACGCATTATTAAATACAATTATTGTTACTGAAATTACCAGGTAAATCAGTTGACCGACTTTTGCTATCCACTCCAATAAAATAGGAATCAATAATAATAATCGGTGACAGATTCAAAATTTTCACTTTTAAAAAATAAATATATAATATTTATAATTTGAATTTGAATTCGAAACCTCACAGTAAATTTTGAATCTCAGTCAATCTTTTGCCTTGTATTTTAAAATGTCTCTATATATTTTTAAAAAATTACCTTATATATGCCGTGTAATTGTTTATAACGATGACATCCTCCTTGGATCCACCTTGTAATGATGACTTTTTTTTTTTTAATGTTATATAACGATAGGAAGCTTGCTTTCGTTTTCACCATTTTTTCCTCCAATTTTTCCACAAAGACCGACTTGTTTAAACTGTCTCTCTATATAGACACACAAAATTCGTCTCTACAACCATTCCATGATTTAATATTAATTCCATACAAATATTAACAGCTTGAAAGAAAACAAAGAAGTTAGCAAAATGGAGAACATTTTTTCAATATCAGCAATTAGTCCTTCATTATTGGGTAAGAAAATAGCTGATGACCTCAATCAATTCTTTTGTATCATTTTAAGATGTACAATTCTCAGCATCCTAAGCACATTTCAAGATTTATCTTCTTGTTTTTCTTTTTCACTCCGAGCAATACTTTTGTTCTTCATCACTCTCCGAAACGCATTGACTCGAGATGATCATGATCATGATAATGATAATAATCCTCCCGATGCTAAAAATTGTTATGAAAATTGCGATAACGAGGAAGAAATTGTTGAGGTAGTAATTATGGATAAACTAATGAGTTTATGCAATTCAAATGAGAATAAAACAGAGTATGCAGAGGTTTCGAGTTTATTTGACGAAGTAGAACCTAGTTTTGAAGAAATTAAAGAAGCTTTTGATGTGTTTGATGAAAATGGAGATGGATATATTGATGCAAGTGAGTTAATGAAACTTATTTGGAGAATGGGTTTATCCGAATTTTCGATGAACGATTGCAAGAAGATGATTATGGCCTTTGATGAAAACAGAGATGGAAAAATTGAATTTTCTGAATTTTTGAAGCTCATGGAACAGAGCTTTCGGGATCCTGTAGAGTTAGACTGAGTTTTTATTTTTTTTTATTTTTATACCGTACTGCTACTAAGTATTACTACTATCATAAATTATCTAAAGAGCAAAAGGTGTAAATCCATTAATAATATTGTCATGTAAGCAATTTATCTACGATGAATAAAATTAACAAAACAGACATCCTAAGATTAAATCTTAGGGGGTCTTGCATTGAAATTCGACTTTTATTTTAATCTTGAACTTAGATCTCTTATTAAGATAGAAGCAATATCATATCCACTTTAATAATTATATATCTCTAAGTAAACATTTCGTATTTGAACACTTGAAAATAAGATTTGCTATTAGTTGAAAATGTTTTTGCCAAAATGGACTTTTCGATGCGCATTATAATAAGTCAAGTCCAAAGCGTATGTAGACACTGAGAGAGAACCAATAACTAAATTAATTAATAAGTGAAGACTCCGTCTACAAACTAATCACTTTTCCACCGCCTAAAGATAAAACATTAGTATACAGACAAAATTTGTTACTTGAGGATCTGAAGTTGCTACAGTACTGAAAAAGACTGAATTTGATATTTGATTGGAAAATTCTAAAAAACTGTCTGCAGAAGCAAACTTGAACCCTCTAAGCTCTGTTTGTCTTAAGATTCTTTTGGCAACAAAAATAAGTAAACTGTGTTCTGACGATGTAAGACAAACTAATTTTTTTAAGTGTTGTTTGGTATGAAGAAAAATATTTTCTTAAAAATAAATAAATTTGTTATTTACTTTTTAGTATTTGATAATTAAGCAAAATAATATTATCTTAAATTTCATATGTAAGTTAGCAAAATCTTGTGGGGTGATGACTGATGAGTGGGGCTTCGGAGGTGGCGAGGGGTGGGATGATTAAGGGGTAAACATTTGGGCATTGATAAATATCACTTGTGAAATTCGTCTTCTTATTTTCAGTAGTGAAGTATTTTTTTTCATTTTTAAGAAACTTATTTTACTACAAATAATGTTTTTTTCCAAAATATTTTTAACAATCAAATATGAAAAAATTGAAAAATATTTTCCAACATGGCAAACACACAATTTTCTTCTACTTCTTAAGACCTTAACACAAAATATTAAGGTAATGATGCATTCACACCAAATCGGCTATTACAAAAAATGAAACTTTTCATCTTTACCAAACGATAGATTTAAACGATACGATACAATAAAATTTAAGCAACAATCATAACCAATACTTCCTCTATTCCAATTTATGTGACATATCTCGTTTTTTGAGAATCAAACAATTTAAGTTTGATCGAAAATTTGCTCATGAAATCTTTAATTTTTTTGAAATGAAATTTATATATTTGTTAACTATGTAAAAAGTATTATAATTGACAATTCAAAATATTTAAAAGATCTATGAAAAATTTAAGGTAAAAACTAGATTTGTTTGACTCTTGAATTCGAAATATGCCACTGAAATTGAGACAGAAAGAGTATCATATTTAAACTAACAATATAATACTAGGAGGATCAAGATAGCAACCATCCAAACAAGGTGTAAGTTAACTCGGACTTTGTCGAAGTGTGGAAGTTCCTTCTCATCCCTTAAAATCTTTTACAATCACAATTTCTTGGTCCCTGGTAGATACAAGTCACTATCATTACGAAATGGCAAACGTCAACTGCTTAGCAAATTGCTTTGGGTCACATCAAATTGTATATATTTCTAAGTATTTTCTGAGTAACTTCCTAATTAATACAACTGAATTTGTCTTTTAATTTATTCGCATTGTTATCCAATTCAATAATAGAACACTATAAAACCCCTTTGCATACATCAAAATCAAATCAAGTAGTATCACAAATCTGCAAAGTTCTCCAAGAAATCTTCAAACTAACTAACCACTGATCAATTCAATGGCAGACATAATATCAAATGTGTTTAATGAAAACGATGAGTTTCGCGCTCTCATACTATCAGACAAGGAGTGCGCGGAGGAACTGCAATACCAAGAGGTTCTTGCAGCCTCTTTAGAAATCTTCCATCTTCACATGTCATCAACACAAATCGAAGAATCCCCTGAATCATCCCAAGGTTTTTGTGACATTTGTATGGAGACAAAAGTTACAAATGAAATGTTCAAACTCGAAAATTGCTCTGATCACTCATTCTGTACTGATTGCCTAGCCCAATATATCCAGTCCATGATTCAAGACCATATTTTCTCAGTAACTTGCCCTGGTTTGAAATGTTGCGCGACAATTGAACCTGTTTCTTGTAAATCCATCATCCCAGAAAATGTATTCGAAAAATGGGAAGGGGGATTGAGTGAGTCTGCTCTTCTTGATTGCGAAAAATTCTATTGTCCTTACAAAGATTGTTCAGAGCTGCTGATTTATGATCATGATCAGGACATAATTGAGTGCGTATGTCCTGTATGCCACAGGCTGCTCTGCGCGGCGTGTGGCGTCCCTTGGCATACTGGATTTGATTGTGACAAGTTTCAAAATGATGAAAAAAACAGAGAAGATGATTTAAAAGTTGAGGAACTTGCTAGCAGCTCCAAATGGATGAAATGCCCTCACTGCAAACATATTGTGCAGAAAGCTGATGGTTGTATACACATAACCTGCCGGTTAGTTAATTTCTTGTTTAATTTTTATATGGTAGTGTGGCCTGTTAATTTCTTTATAAGCTAGTATATTAACTTAACAAATCAATGTGTTAATCAATATTATGAATTTAGGTGTGGATCTCAATTTTGCTATATATGTGGAGAAACATGGAGCGAAAGCCATTGGAGTTGTCAAATTAGTGAATGATACCGGATTGCTTCTAAAGAACTGGGAAGATTGAAAGAAGGGTAAATTATGCTAAGTGGCCATTCGGCCCTTTGCGACCAAAATTAGCAAAAAAATGTTGTTCCGTCCTTCTTCAACTTTCGACTTTGAATGTATTATAATGTTTAGTCATTGTAAACATAAGTTTGTATTGTATACTTTTTATGACTTTCGGCAAGTTAAATTGTATAGTCAGTGTACATTTCCTATAATTTTTTAGTATTTTTATTTAATGTAAATAAAGCATGATAATATTTATTGTAATCTAATTACTTTATTGTATATATTTGAAACTAAGTCCTTTGAAAAAATCATGGTTATGCTTAATAATAGAGCACTCCAAAACGCCTACGGGCTCTTCTTGATTGTGAGGTCAGGGCCAACTCGACCGTAGGAAGATGGGTTCAAGATGCCCGCTAAACACCAATTTAGATGTTGGATGTTTGTTGTCACTTGTCTACTAGACTTTTTATGTTTGTTTGTTTGGTATTACGATGTAAATAGTTAATATAGAAAGTGTTTGAATTAACTTATTTTAAATATTTGTCTCCAATTCAATCCTCTTGTAAGTACAAATTATGGAAGTTTAAGGTACATAAAAAAAACAAATAGGAAAAGAAAAACAGTTTGTTGATTTAATCAGTCACATTTTTTAACAACCTTAATATAGTTGGAATGACATTAATTATGTCCACTCCAATTTTTTCTTATACTACAAGGTTAACGGAGGGGAAATGATATCCGAGATGGAATCAAGTTTTATGTAATCAATCTTGTGGTTCATTGTCTTTATTCTTTATATCCGTCTCAAAAACACATGCAAAATAATTCTATTAGTTTCAAATCTCAAATATTTTACCTTTGATGAATATAGTATAAAATCAATTACTCCTATCTTTTACCAGCGGCATTAAACACTTTTAAATAGTTACAACTTGATCGGATAGTTGTTACCTATTGTATTGTTAGTTTAAATACTATAAATATTTTGACTGTTACTTTAATCTTATTATATTATATTATATTATATTACTAAGCTGCCGATATGTAATGACAAAAAAAATTACTCTTTTTCCCCTCCTAATTTGCATTTGCTTATTTTTTTAATAATTTTATTTTATAATTTATCTTATCCTACTTTTTTCTATAATTTTACCCTAGGTCATATTTTTCACCAATAGAATATTTTGATATGATAGCATATGTAAGAAACATGAAACAAGTTGTTATTGCGTCGAGCTCATCACACCGGGTTTGCCTAGTGCGGATTATCTTTTCTATGTGATTTGCAAGCTATTGCATAAGAGCGGAAATTTTAACCTGTGCACACCCAAAAGATAGCAACTGTGGATTTTCCTTATCATAAAAATAAAAAATAAAAAAGTTACTGTTTGGAAACATACACACACTTGTCACTTGTGCATAGTTTATACTACATTCTTCTTTTGACAGATCAATTGCAACACTATTTATATTTTGGATAATACTCGATAGACGACGGTGTAAGGATAAGTAATCCCAAGTTCCAAAGTGCACCGATATCTTTTTTGTAGGTTCAGCCGTTGATCTCATTTTATTAATAATTAATAAATATTGAACTATATTCTATCTATTTTTAATTTAAATATATAAAAGATCACATGAATTTTTATGTTTTCAAATTCCATGTTATTAAGTCTATAAATGGAAAGACATTTTTCATGCAATCTCTCTGACGCCGACTACTGCATTTCTTATTGACGTGAGTTGTTTCCTTTTTCTTTAATAAGTAGCAAATGTAATACAAATTGTTCTGGTATTTAGGGATTGAGAGTAAGAATGGGAAGGGTAAGGCTAAGCATGAAGCGAGTGGAGAGCAATAGTAAGAGGCAATCCACTTATTGCAAACGAAGATGTGGAATCCTGAAGAAAGCCCAGGAGATTTCTGTGCTATGTGATATAGATATTATCCTCCTTTTGTTTTCCCCAACTGGAAAACCAACGCTACTTCAAGGCGGAACAAGGTACTTTTCTGTTACTTTATTTAAATCACTCTGCTGTGCTAAGTGCTTCTTTTATCTTTACTGACACAACTTTTGGAGGATTGGCTTATATATCTACGGGTGAGATAGTGTAGATGCCATCATGAACTTGAATTTTGGGTCATGTCCCACAGGTATTGGATGTGTCAATTGGTCTTGAGATAACTTTTGGCGTTAGAGTTTAGGTAATTCAAGGTCTCTTTCTTTATCATCCTGCCTATCAGAGTTAGGTGAGGTCAAGTAATTGGTTCCCTTGTATGGTCTTGCCAAAGTTCATTACTGCACAGAGTACAGCCTTTGGTGGTTTAAATTACTACTTTTGCATTGAGAACCATTGTGATTCTACTTCCTTGGAATATACTTTTGTGCATGTGATGATATTGTATATATGAGGTTGGGATTGTTTCATAGTATCATTGATCTGTTCATAGGGGATATGTGAAATAACAGGTTACTTTATTGGAGACTTACTCTTTGGCAAGTTCCCCAAACTTCTAACAAAAGTGAGTGATATTCTCATTTTAAAGTACCTGGTATGAAGAGCCTTTACTCCTCTAGAAGATGCTCTTGTAAATACATATAACCGAGTACATCTATTTTCTACTGCTAGTTTTTTCTTTTTTTTATCACAGTTAGTCTTGTGTGGTGATTTAGTCCTTTGTCTTTTTATTTGTCCGACAATAACCATACAGGTTCTTCATCACATATGATGAACTATAGGATTATTCGATCCCTAATTTCTATTGCATGTCTTCAGCAATTTTGATGAAATAATTGCAAAATTTGCTCAATTGACTCCTCAAGAAAGGGCAAAAAGGTACAAAAACAGTCTTGTCTATTTGGATTAGTCTTATCTAGGAGTAAGATATAGAGGCCAAATTACCAGTTTTTGCTAATCTTGAACTTAAAACAGGAAGTTGGAGAGCCTTCAAGTAAGTCTGATATTCATCACCACTATGTGTTTTCCTCTTTCTATGGTTTGTTGTTACTTCTTAATCCACTTGAAAGTGATAATGGTTACACTCCAGACATTGAGGAAGACTTTTAAGAAGCTTGACAACGATATAGGCGTGCCAGAGTTTCTAGATGCTAGGTATATATTTTTGTTGATCAATTTGAGGATCTTTTCCTTCAAATTTGTACCTATTGAAATTTGTTAAGCATTATGTTAACCGTTTACCTCGTCTTTGCTCCTTTGTTTCTTTTGGTGCAGTGATCCATCAGTTGAAGTATGCACTTTCTTACTCTATCCACACCATTTTGGCTACAATTGTATGACTTAAACTCAAGTTTATGGACAATTTTTTATTTTTTTTTATAATTGGTGCTGACAGGAATTGCAAAGCCAAGTGAAAGTTGTGCAATCTCAGCTTACTGATTTAGAAATGAGACTCAAGTATAGTCCTGCATTCCTTTGTTTTTCCTTTTATATTTTTGGTGTTCAATTGTTTCCATAATTGACCTCTTTATCAACTGCTACAATATTTCGATTGCGTATTTTTATCTTATTTAGGTCTCTGGCAGAGTGTGTTGCCATTTGTCCTCTTTTATAAGTTGCATTTGCTTTTTGAATGTATCTAAAGAACTTTTGAGGAATATCTAATTAATTTTCTCATTTGGACATTTTTATTGGATATCCATACACAATTAATAGCATCTTGCTTGATAATAGGCCCAATTAATAATATTTTGTGTGATTATAGATGCACCAGTTGATTTAATCTTAATCCACATATGTTGTTTCCGTGTTTGATTTAATATGCAGTTGTAACTAGATCATATGGGATTAATGACTTGTGTCATTTTTAATCTTGTATTAACCTTAATCCTCTGCTTCGTCGTAGCTGGTGGAGCAATCATGATAAGATAAATAAAGTGCAAGATCTCGCGCTGATGGAGTGTGCACTAAGGGAGTCACTTAATGCAGTTCATGTTCGGAAGGTAATATTTCCAAAAACTGGATTGGTTTTGGTGGTACTTGGTGATCCTAGTGCTGCAACAAGTTTTAGAAAACAGCCATACTATTGATGAACTAATATACTTTTAACTCAGTATGGAATTTGGTCAGAACTGAGTTGATTGCTTACCTATCCTTTGTCAAATCCTCTAACTACTCACTCTCCTTTGTAAGAATGTTAATTAGGTCATGGTTATTCAAGGTTAAACTACATAGTAACTTCTGCCCTTCCTCCCTTCTGTTTCTCGTTTAGTCTATTATATTGGTTGTTTCGGAAAAACAGTGTAAAATGTGAAAATAGCTGAATGCTTCTGCATTTGAATGTCATATAACAGCTCCAGAACACGACACATTTGCATCTTTTGATAAACAGTGAAGTAGATGGGCAAACTCATCCATGGCATCCAGAAAATAAAATCCTGCACATGCCATTCCCTCAGACACCAAACATTCTACCCCAGGAGTGAGTATTAGACCATATTTATTCAGCATCTTTATGTCGTTCCCCTTTTACGATCTTAGTATTTCACGTTTGAAGTTACTGGATTTCGGTAATCGCTAACATCGTGTGAACCATTGTTTCTCTGTAGAAATATGGGATACTCTGGAGATAATTCAGTTGCTGAATCTTCTCATGTTCTGGACTCTGGAAAAGTTGATCAAGCAAGACAGGCCACAACTGCAATGCTAGATAACAGTGTCTTGAATGATCTAAATAGTATAGCATGCTTGAGACAGCAACTAAGTGAGCAGTATTCATACAACCCCAATGATAATCTTGATCTACTGGAAAGGAAAATATTGGATCCTCAAAGTGATGCCAATTTGAAAGGATATTTGATGGATTATGAATTTCAAAGAAACTTTAACCTAACAAGGTCTGTGGATTCAGTCAATTATAGTGCAGCTGATGCCGTTGTTGTTCCAGATTTCGATGAAAAATCATATGCACAGGTAATTTCACCTGTTTCCATTCTCGGTTAATTTCTCAACTCTGTGACAGTTAATTATTGAAAAAAATGTTTAATTGTCCATCTTATAAATGGATTTCATCTTCTCCATTCATGTATCCTTGTTCTCTTTGACAGTTGAATATGCTGAATGCACATCATATATTACTCCATTAAACAAATTACCACAATCTCCAAATATACAGTCATGTAACTAATCCTATCTGATCTAACATTTCTTACTCAGTCTCACTTGTTCTTATTTCCTGCAGCCAGCAACTTCCAGTGATTAAACATTTGAGATAAGTCACACTACTTGTGTAGAATTATCTGTGATCGCGGGTGAGGTTTACAGGTGCAGTGGTTGTTGATAGATAATTATGTTTGAATATGTATAGTTGTTTTGCTTGGCGAACCCTGACACCACACATGGTGAAAGTAGAATAAGAGTTTGTTCATATATGAGATCTGAATAAAAGACCAATTTCACTTTGCTTCAATAAATTACTGAGATTTGTTTTGCAGTTAAGATGCAAATCGAACTACTAAAAGAAAGTTTTTCCCTTTATATGCTAATAACAAGAGCGCAAATCACAGTCTTTTGATGATCTAGTAGGAATAACACAAATAAGAAACGCTGTACATTAAAGGTTCCTTGTTTACCACAAAGCTCTATTCTTGATCAAAATTCATAACATGGTTACAAGGTAACAATATATATTCAATCAAGTTTCCCATGAGGTTTTCTAGTTGCTGAGTGTTTGGATGATGGTGTTGTGCCATGGGTCAGAGATGTGTTGCAGAAGGTTGTCAAAAGGTCCCTTTCCAGTCACATTGTGCTGCACTATGAATCCCAAAAATGCCAACATAGCCAATCTCCCTGAAAATTATCCACTTGAAAAATTAGCCTGACTCGAGTACATGAAGTCATTTAGAAAGTGAACATCCACTTACCATTAGCAAGTTCCTTCTCCTTGGCCTCTTCAGTTGGTGCAAAGTTGAGTGGGTTGAAAATACCACCAGGGTATCCACATTTATTAGGAGGCAAGCTGTAGCTCTTGAAGATAGGGTCTTGGTTGACACTTCCTGGGTTCTTAATGTCTTGCCACCTTCTGATCTCGACGTAGTGGAACAAGATGAACTCGATCACAAACAGGGTTGATGATGATGCAAAGTACTCGGATTTTCCAGCATCGTACCATTTGGGCACGTTAAGTATCCCAATGCTAGTGAAAACCTCAGGCAACAGCATCCCTGCAACACCCAACATAGCCCAACGACCATTCACCAGTTCAGCCTGGATGAACCATTTCAAGTTCTCTGGGTCCTCAGCAAGTCCCAATGGATCAAAACCATTGTCTCCTGGGAGACTAAAGACAAGTAACCATTCCAGTATCAGAACAAGGTTAGTATTTACTATTGAGACGTAGTACAATTTTACATGATATCAGAGCAGGCAAAAGTATATATTACAAGTAGCTTAAGATGTATGTATGTATGTATGTACCTGCCATCAAGATAATCAGGAGAGGCTAAGCCAGGAAGCCATTGACCTTTCTTAGCTTCAACCTTGAATGAGTTGTATGATGAAGAAGTTGAAGGTCTAAAAGAGACCTCCCTGTTTAACTTTCCAGATGATCCAGTGAGGAACCTGGTTCTTGAGGCACATGGCCGGAAAATGGCGGCGGAAGCTTGTGTTGTCACGGTTGCCATTTTTTCCAATTTGAAGAGTTGTTAGTGATTATTGGGAGAAATGGCAATCTAGTTTTAAGGCTGAGTTGAAACCTTTGTGTGTTTTGTATATGCATTTGTATTGCCATTTCTTTGGCACAATTGTGGCTCTGGTTCAATCTTGAAGAGTGACTAAGATTTTTTGGAATTCAACGGTTGGATTGAGTTGTGAATTTGATAGTAACCAATGAGAAGAAATGGGCCTTATCTCCTTATCTTTGTTTCCATATCTTCAAATCTGTTTCTTTATTTCTGTTGGTTTGAGAAGATGATGACGGACCCAAAAATTGCCACGTGGATATATATTGGATTTTTAGAGAAGGAAATTAAAATGGAAATGGAAATTGGGGAATCTGTTTATGGAAAGATCTTTGCCAAGTGGAATCATTGATATCCAATGAGGATTTGACAATTGGTTGACTCAAAATTCGTCCTGCCAAAAGATATCTATTATGACTTGATTGAGAAAAATTGGGTGGGATGAGTCCTTTTTTTATGCGTTGGGAGTATATTTTAATGTGTTAAAAAGATTTTAATCATGATTTAATACTTTCATACTAGTCTTCAAAGAAAGTTGGGAGTATATTTTAATGCAAAAATAATATTTGAATAAAAATATTTCAGCTAAAATACGGAATAACTCTGTCCCATGGTGTTAGAGTTTGGAATTTTGATAAGTGAGTTTTAAGAGTTTATGACGTTTCAAAAATCCGCGTTCTTTTCATGGAATTTGAAAAAATAAATATCATATCACATGTAGCTCCGTACTCTAGAGTTTTTCCATATTTTTAGATTGAGATATAATTTTTTTCCTTTTTTTTTTAGATTATGATATTGCTGTCCAAATACTCTCTCTTTTTTTTCTCCATTAAAAGTGGCTATTGTTGAATAGTTTTGATAGTGTGGCTAAAACTTGACAAAAAGTGGCTATTCGGGCCACTTCAGTTCAGGCCTAGTCCAATTATTAGCGCCTTCGTTATCGTTAATGGGCTAGAAAGTGTTGTTCTACTCCGTCTTGGACCTTGCAGAAGCCCGTTTAATAAGTGCATTTTGTCCTTTATATGAAGTTTTTGCACATGGTACCACTATTTCTAGGTAATGTTTAATTTTTATCCTTTTTTTTTTAATCAAACACTTTATTTATAACCTAATTCCTTTGAACTAAAGTTGAGAAAAATTCTGCCTTACTCGGAATAAGTTGTGTAGAAATTGAATTATGTAATATAATTTGTGTAATATTTCTATGGCCTTATTTCGTTAAGCATAAGTTTAGAGAACTTTTGTTATGCTTGATATAAATTCACTAGGAATTAAGTTGTATCTTTTACGATATAACTTGTGGATTTTCTTATCTGAAATTTTACCTCTATAGACATAAGTTCTGTAACCATAACTTATGTATTAATAAAAACTTTTATTTTTCGTTTTTATTTTTTTTAAAACTTTTTTAGAATTAATAAAAACATTTCTTTTATTTGTGAATTTGTTATAACCTGAAATTTTTAATGCTATAGCTTGAAAGTCTATATCTACTGCTATTATTTCATGCTAATCATTAATTATCTACAATAAATTCAAATTAAATTACAGGCCACACTTTCAGTTTTCTACTTTATTATCTATAATTCCATTTTTATTTGTAAATTTTCGTTTTTATTTTTTTAAAAACTTTTTTAGAATTAATAAAAACATTTCTTTTATTTGTGAATTTGTTATAACCTGAAATTTTTAATGCTATAGCTTGAAAGTCTATATCTACTGCTATAGCCTGAAAATAGTACTATAATATATGTCATATATGAAATTTACACTAATTATAATTCAAAAATATTAGTCTATGTCAAACAAAAAATATTTTCTATTTCAATATCAAAATATTTTCGATTACCTATATTTTACTTAAAATATTGAGGATAAAAATTGAAAACCACCCTTAAAAAATGGGCAATTATGTGAATCATGTTAAAGTTGACACGTAAAGTTTTATATGATAAAGGAAAGTGTAAATTTCATATATGACATATATTATAGTACTATTTTCAGGCTATAGCAGTAGATATAGACTTTCAAGCTATAGCATTAAAAATTTCAGGTTATAACAAATTCACAAATAAAAGAAATGTTTTTATTAATTCTAAAAAAGTTTTTAAAAAAATAAAAACGAAAATTTACAAATAAAAATGGAATTATAGATAATAAAGTAGAAAACTGAAAGTGTGGCCTGTAATTTAATTTGAATTTATTGTAGATAATTAATGATTAGCATGAAATAAGGGATCCAAACAAATTAACAATATTTTTTATCCTTAATTCACTCAAAATCAGTTAAGATAAACTAAAAAA